GAGAGAGAGAGAGAGAATGGGTTCTCTGGGGATTGGAGGTGGGTTTGGGTGGAAATATCATTTTGGAAGGAAACATGGACACCCAAGAAGAGCAAAGGCTTGTGAATCAGGAGATGGTGAGTCCACCCTTGAAGGAAATGGTGATTGGAATTTCAAATTCCCATTGAAACCAGCTCTTACTGCGGCCTCTCTCGCTCTTACTGGTGATACCATTGCCCAGATTACCCGCCCAACAACTCCAACAACCTCAACTCAACAGCCCCATCTCACAAAAAAGGTTGCACATTTTCCATTTCTGCTTTTCTATCCATTATTTGTTTTAATCTTTGTTCCTTTACAGTTTTTTCTCTTTCATTTTTCATTTTTACGAGCTTTTTTTTTTTTAATAGTTAAGTGTGTGTTTTTCTCCGAATTTTGATGCTCCGATTTTATGGAAAACGGTTCTGAGTCTGATATGATCTGTTGTTACTAATTTTGGGGAAGCCTCACATTATTGGAATTACCCATTATTCTATTAGTTTGCATTTTGATCTCTCTCTAATCTGTGTGGTTCAGGTGGTTGTAAAATAATAAATTAGTAATGTAAGAAACATTTGATACAAATGGAATAAGCTATTCATTGATGCATTTGGGCCAATTCTGATATGGTTTTCTAACCTATGGGATTTCATTTGAAAAGCCAAAAGAAGAAGAAGAAGAAGAAGAGATAAAAATGAAAAATGGAACATTCAGCTCAGTTTCATTTTACAATATTGAAGTCAGTTTAGAAATTCTTGCTGGTCATTCTTGTAGCATTGTCAAGTTCTCTAGGGGGCTAGATGTAAATTTTCTTAGCCATAAGAGTAATCTATTTGAATGCACTTGGTGAGCTTGTAGACTGCTAGGTGATATCCATTTGGATAAGATTCCTGATTTAAAAACTTACAGCTTTAGTGTCATTAATACTTGAAAGACAAAAATGATATAATGTGTAATTGATGATCATATGGATCTATCATCATCTAATTCCAGGTGAATTGTTGCTATCTTCTTCTCTTGTTTTCATTCCTCTTCTTGATTTTGGTCTGCCTCTTTGTGACTATCAGGTTAATTTCTTATCTATGTTGTCTAGTTCCAGGTCTTCGAAATTGGCAGCATCTCCCTGCATTCCAGATAGACATTGAAATTTGAAAGTTGCTAATTTTACACCAAACAAACTAATAAACTATAAGGTTACGATGTTTGTATGCATCTAAGCAACTCTGGCTTGTGAAATTCAGTTCTTCTAAAGCACATTCCAGAGAAACATCAGCGGTCGATGAAGTGGATAAGTTCTAGTTTTCCTTTGTGCTCCTTTAACCTTAGGTTGTAGTGCTTGCCGATTGAAGCACTTAATTCTTTAGGTTGTAGTGCTTGCCGATTGAAGCGCTTAATTCTTTAAGCCAGAAGGTTTCTTTCCTTCTTTTCTTGTGTGGAATTGATCGAAGGTACTTTAGTTCTGTCTTCAATACAATAAAGTGCGTTTCTAGATAAAGATGTGGATGGTGGTATTATGTTTTAAGGCAGGAATCCATTATATGGGGCTTGTTTTCCCTACACAAATACTGCAAGTCCAGACTGAATATACTAGGCATTTCCCAATATTTGAAAAGTTTTCTCAAGATAAGAGCTTTAATTTTATGTATGATAACTAAGAATATGACTTGAGTAGTCAAAACCACACTGCATATGCATAAGGATTGTGAGTAACCATTTGAATTCTTAATGAAGTGAATTATTAATAAGAAAATCTTAAAAGTAATTCAATTTAAATCTAAACTTTTACAGGAGTGAAATACTAACTAGAAACTTTTGAAAAGGAATCCAATTTAAATTCTTCTTATTTTGTGTGACCTTCTTCTTAAGTTTTATAAATTCATCTCATTTTGTGTGACCTTCTTCTTAAGTTTTATAAATTCATCTCGTTTTGTGTGACCTTCTTCTTAAGTTTTATAAATGATAATAGGCATGATTCTTTTGGCAGTTCCTATATAAATTTGTCTTTATAAATGGTTCAAATACAATTCAACCAGAGGTTGAGATGCACAGGCATATACACCGTGTTCTACTTATACCAGTGTTCATGCTGAGAACCCATCCATTCCTATATAAATAATTAGTGTGAGTTCTTTGCTTTATGTTATTCCAGTTTCTTTTTGTAACAGATGGATGCATTAGACAGTCCAATATCATATTTTCCTGTTTCTTTTCAACACTTAAATAGCAGCCTTATACTTTCATTATTTGTCTGCTTCTGACCCATGTTTCTTGACTTTTATGTCAACTATTTTCTTGTAATCAGAAAAGAGCTTTTCCATACTTCTGCATTGTGTCTTATGCAAGCTTTACAATTTTTATCTTTTTAAAAGTGTTTAAGTGGACACTGCTCTTAACTGAGTCAAGTTTGGCTCAAGCTACCATTGAGCTGGATCAACAAGCCATTTTAAATTACAGTAACTTTTACACTTTGCAAGGAGCTCTAGATATTTGTGCGTTGATCGGCAACTTGCTTCTTCCATGTTTCCAAAAAGCATAAAAAATAACTGAGAAAAAGTAATGATTTCCACACAAATTCTGGAAAGCTAAAATGCATGAATGATATAATATGAGATTAGGAAAAAGAAAGAAACTAGGAAATGAAACACAAAATAATAACTTCAGACATGCAAGTCATAATTTTTCACAGTTACAATCTTATGGTTCCTCTCATGTTTCGATTAAAGCAAGAAATAGTGGATTATGTGCTGCTTCATCTAGAGACATAGGAGTCCATAAAAGTATGGGATCTTTTTTTTATTCTCTCCTTTTTTGACATGTTAATGGGTATAGTAAGTAGGAATGGAAACCACAATGTCCCTTTGCGTCTCTGCCACCCTGAAGACCCAGGCCTCGGGCCCATTCCTTTCAAAAAACAAAGTTACTTTTTTGAAATTGAGTATTTTTGAGGTGCTATGGCTGGTTTTATATAAACAGAGGAAGGGGAGATAAATCTAAAAGGTTTAGAAACTTGAATAAGTTTGGGTATTACCGGCATGACGGTTACATTAAGCATGGAAACTTACAAAACTGAATTTTAGTAAACCAGCAGTAAATGATATTTAAATCAGTATATTTTCTTGTATCATTTACATGGTTTTGAACTCTTTAACTCTGTTTTGAAAAATTTGTTTTGGGTGAATGAAGCATTCTTTCAGGTATCCAACAAATGGTTGTAGGATATGCTTCTTTATTTGGATATGAAGCCTATTGTAACTTTCCATCTGCTGATTTAGTGGTTATTCAGTGACCCATTCTTCCGGTTTGTTTTCCAAGGTTTATTATTAATTTGCTAGTCTCAGTTACTTCAAATTTGTCATTATGGGAAAAATCTCTGTTTTAACTCTTGGGTGACTATGTTTAGGATGCAATATCAAATCATGATTGGCTTCGAGCACTCCGAATGGCCGCCTATGGGTTTCTTCTGTATGGTCCTGGATCACATGCATGGTACCAGTTGCTTGATAGCACTTTACCAAAGCAAACACTTGAAAACCTGACACTGAAGGTATGCTTGCTTTCTGAGATAGCACATGTAGATCATTGCCAAGCTTTGTAGCTGAACTCAGTGAAGTAATTACTTCGCCATCCTTTTTTTTTTTTTCTTGGAAATTTAGTGAAGTGATCGATGTTACAAATCGTATGAACTTTTTTTCTAATTAAATAAATAGTGTAGTGGAGTGATCCATTTTACAAATCCTATGAGTAAATTAGTTGAATTTGTGTTGCAGGTTATATTGAATCAGGTTGTTCTTGGTCCATGTGTGATTGCTGTAATTTTTGCATGGAATAACCTTTGGATTGGAAGGCTTTCAGAGCTCCCTAAAAAATATCAGAATGATGCACTTCCTACACTCTTCAATGGTGGGATCTCTAAAGTAGCTTTGTTTGAAGCAGATCCAAACAAATATGCATACAACCAAACAAACATGCATTTATATGCACACATACATCTATACACACATGCACATACACACATAAGAACAATCTTCCCACACACACATAGATAACTTTCCCTAAGTCTAATGTTTTTGTTTTTGCCATATCCCAGGGTTTAAATTCTGGATCCCTGTCAGTGTGCTGAATTTTGGGTAAATCTTTCTGTCCTTGAAATCTGCTAGGTCTTTAAACAAAATGAAATTGACCGGCCTATTGTGTTCTTAGTTATTTAGATAATGAGGAAAATGCTCTGAATTTTCAGTCTACATACCTAGTAGCATTTTCTGTAGTTAACAAAACCACCATTTTCTTGCTGCAATCTTCACATTCTTTATATAGCATAAAACTGTCCACTTTTAAGAATTTGAGAGCAATTTCAGAAAGGGTGTTCTCTGGTCAATTAAGGAGGCTTTTGCAGTGTACTTTCAGAAAGGGTGTTCTCTGGTCAATTAAGGAGGCTTTTGCACCGTACTTGGCATTTCCCTTGTCATTATTTATGGGAAACTGATTCTCAAATATTACAAAATCTAGTCTGTATTTTTCTAATGGGAAAGTATGTAATAAGACTATTTATCCGTAGTACAAAAAGCGTAGAATCACCCTTAGCTGTCAGATGTGAAATCGAGCAGTTGGGGTGTCATTGACCATATGCATCATTCAAGAAAAATTTTCTTGAATTTTGTGAAAATACCCATTGCTGCCTTATTTCACATTTGACAGATTAGGATGATTGTAACCTACTAGTGTCAAAGGTAATTGGTGTTTCCTAATTTGGGCACATCCTGAGTTTTACTATTATCAGTTTGTAGGGGGTTTGATAGAGGCACGCTTCTTTATTTCAGCAACTCATCATTTAAAGGGCAGAGATTTAGATAATACATATGAAAAATGGCAGGGTGGTTCCTCTTGAGGCTCGTGTGGCATTCATGTCAACCTGCTCCATATTTTGGAATTTTTACCTCTCATCCACCATGAGTAGGTAGCCGACATTAAATACTCACCATGGGGAAAGATCAACTCTTCTATTCAACAGAAACGTGTGCGGTTACACTGCCCAACCTCCCAACCTCGTTTTTGCATTTCTTTGTTCCTCTTTTTTCTCTTTTTGGATAAATTGATTCTTAGGCAAATAGTTGTCTTAAGCTAACATTGTGAATAGCCTTCTACACCAGGACCAGCAGAAACATACATTGTTTGAGGAGGAGATGGTTCATTGGGCATCAAGTGTCGGGGTTACCATTGGTTTTCAAACCATTTTGCCATCTGAAATAATTGCTTTTGAGATTTGGATGCCAGTTTGTTGTGAAAGGAACTTGTGTGGACAAATAATGACTTGCCACTTCCTGTGGTCATGGCATTGGAAAGTATGTTACTTAAATGATTCATGGTAGTTCTTTTGCTTAGTGTATGTCATGTGCGTCTATCTATTTATGTAGAGAGAGAGAGAGAGAGAGAGAGAGAGAGAGAGAGAGAGAGAGGACGTACTAC